TAATAAATCAATTTTTTTTGATTATTATGAAAATGTACAATAATGATAAGTATGTGATTTGCTTGTTGATTAGATCAATTATTCTTATAAATATACTATAAATTATTTGATTTACATCTCATTTAAAAACTCTTTATATCTAAGAAATTGAAGATAATGAGGATTTTGAATAAACTCACCTATAAATTCTTCATTATTCAAAATTAAAATGATAAATATTCCTCTTCCTTCACCTAATGGAGTTACGTCAGCATGAATTGAATATCTTTCAGTTGGTTTTCTTACATTGAATGAATTTGATCTTTCCTTTTATAAAAATGGTAACATTAAATAGTAAATTAAATAATTTTATATTCAATATAGTTAACTTTTAGAATAAAAATAACACTTAAAATTAAATGTAAATATTAAATTTAAAGCTATTTAATTATTTAACAAAAAAGCAAAAATACAAAAATCTTCAAATATAAATTCTCTATTACTTGTCTTTATTTTGCTTTATTAATTGTTATCAAATTTAAGTTATTTACTCTATGAACATTAAAACTTAAGGGAAAAGTAATAGCATTCCATTTTAATCTATAACAACAAAATATGACGAAATTAAATTTAGGATTGGAGGCTTTTAATAAATTGTAATATTTAATTTATAATGGGATAAGGATGCTGTTAAAAAATGAGTCATCTTCCAAGCATTGGCGAACAACCAGAAAAATTATATACTCAAACATATAATGATGTACTCTATAAATTTAAGAAAGTCTAAATCTCAATTTATAACTCCTGATCAAACGTAACCAAATATCATTTCAAATGCAAAATTCTTATTCAATTTAAATAATGAAACCCTTAATCTAGATTTAGGCTTTGGAAGCAATTTCTTTTTTTATGAAGAAAATCCTTAAATAGAGAATGAATTTGTATTGAGCACTATATAAAAATAAGGTATATATAAGATGCCTAAAGAACCTAATCTTATTGATGTTGTTATCTATCCACCTATTGTAATATTATTATTTAAATTCAAGAAAGATAAGAACACCTTGATTGTTTATGTTGGAGGTTGGAAAAATTATTAGAGAAATGGATATGGATTACAGTATTGGCCTACAGGAGCTTTCTATGAAGGGGAATGGAAAGATGATAAGGCTAATGGGTAAGGAAGATTGATACATACAGATGGAGATATGTATGAAGGGGAATGGAAAGATGACAAAGCAAATGGAAAAGGAACCTTTTATTACTATGATGGGGCAAAGTATACTGGTGATTGGTTAGATGATTTACCTCATGGAGAAGGTAAAGAGGAATGGCCTGATGGAACTGTTTATGAAGGAGAATTTAATTATGGAAAAAAAGTTGGAAAAGGTACATATCTATTTTCTGATGGTGGTTTATATGATGGGGATTTTAAGGATAATTAGATGTAAGGGAAGGGTGTCTATAAATGGCCAGATAAGAAAGTTTATGATGGATAATGGGTCTAAGGGAAAATGGAAGGTGAAGGTTGTCTAAAATGGCCTGATGGTAAAAATTACAAAGGTATTAAAAACATAAGATTTATAAAGGAAAGTTTGTTAATGGTAAAAAAGATGGATTTGGGACTTTGAATTTTCAAGATGGTAGGCAATATAAGGGATATTGGAAAGATGGATAAATGCATGGTTTAGGAACATATAAAGACAAAACTGGGACTAAATAAGGAGAATGGTATGAAGGGAGATTCAATCTAGAATCACTAAAACTTTGAATGAATATTTTTATAGTTATTAATTGGAAAATCGAAAGATATAATCAATGGGATATAAATGAATTTGATCTACTAAATTTATTAATCTCATCTGCTGCTTCAAATTATAAATGAATGATAGCTATCTGTATAGCATTTAATCCATCATTCTATGTTAAATACATATCTTACATTTTTTATAGTAATCTCTGCTCCTTGTCGAAGTAGATACTAAATAATTTCAAATGCTCCTGTTCTTGCTGCTTATATTAAAAATGTATTCCCTTTGAAATCTTAAGTATTTATATTGATATTCTAATCATGATTCAGTAAGTCTTTTAAGTCTTGCAATCGATGATCTTCTATTAGGGAGAACGCTCTTTCTATATTAGATTTATCATTTTGTTGGCTTTCTTGCAATAACATACTTCTGAAAAGCAAAGAAGAGGGATCCATTGATTATTAAGTAATTAAACTGGATTTGATTGAAATTAGTCCTTGAGAAGATTTGGATTTAGTTTATAATTCAGATTTGGATTTAGTTTATTATTCAGATTCTTTTTGTAAGGTTTTAATTATTTCAGAACTCTAAAAACATTAAATATTGGGATTAGAATTTGTGTTTGCATTTAACAGTCCTTAAAAATTCCTAGAACTTGTATACATGATGTTTTATGATGATAATGCAAACTTCTAATTTCCTAATAAATTTTTTGATTTTTAATTCTTTTTTAACATCATTCCTTGAGTAAATACTGGATTTATCTCCTTTGCAATTAACTTTGATTCATTCTAAAATAAAATAAATATAATACAGATCCTATTGGAGAAGTGAGTCTGCTTCTTGAAATTTAAGGAATTTATAAATTACTAATTTATCTATCATTTAATTTAGCTGAATCTAATTCATTTTATGTTTTGCATAATTCAATATATATCTTTTCCATTGGAGTAACTTAATGGTTTCTTTATTCTTCAAATTATCCAATTAAGATTTAATTGTATGTTTATGACTATTCGGTTTTTAAATTTGTTAAGTCTACTTTTAATAATTATAAATGTAAATCATTAAGAATCTATAACTCTCTATTTAATAATAGATTATATACAATTGTTTTCTGAATCATCCTCATTTTGGATTACTAAATTAATAATATTTGGGAATCTCATAAGTTCTTCATGCAAAAATTAATTTTTGGTTTCATCATCCATTATATTGACAATAACTCTTAATTTTTATTATTTTAAATCATCTAGAGACATTAAATTTAAAACTTAATAGATGTAATTGATTTTAAATTAAGTTTGTATTTCTACATCACTTATATCTAATTAGGAATTATTTAGACTCAAAATACTGTTATCACTTGGATTTCCTTGATAATTTTATACAACAGTATAAAACATAGTCTCAATTTTATATTACTACTTGTATTACGATTTCTTAAATTGAAAAAATATATAGATACATGAAATTTAACATTTTATAAAGTATGTTTGTTTAAGACATCTTGGAGTGTTTCAGAATAATAGTTTTTATTTAAGAATCTTTATTTTGAGATAGTTTATATTTCCTCTTTATCTTATTAAGGTTCATATATGATTTCCAAACATTTTTAAGTATGATTTTGTAAGTAATATCTTGTAAATTGTGAAGCTTTAAAAGAATTGAAATTTTCAATGTTATCATTATCCTTTAATGTTTGAATGACTTTATCTCCAAATTTTTTGACTAATTTCAAGGCAAATTTGCTATATAAATATATTTAAAATATATACTTTTGTAACATTGATTTACTGACCAAAGAATAAATATTTGATTGTTTATTTTATTTTATATCTGTCTATTAATTATAGTTTTACTAAATTTCATCTATATAATCTGGCATTTGAAATTCTATCTATTTTTCATTTTCTTCAAAAGCAACAGTTACTTTAATATTTTTTTTTTAAACTTATTAAATGATTAATTATTTATCAAATTTATTATTTTCTATTTTGTCTTCTTTCTTTTCTTTTAATGCATCAATAATTGTTGAAATAGGTAGATTAGATTCAGTATCTTAGATACTATAATTGGAATTAATTTTAGTTTATTTTTTGGTTATAGTACTTAACTTAAAATTAAATTTAGATTCAATAGCTTTTGGTGTTCTTTCATCTGGCATATTGCTTAATGTTTTTAAAAATTATGAATCTATAAAATGTTCCTTTTTCTTTTTAATTTCCAATTCTAATAATTTCTGTTTATCTCTGTTTGTATGTAACATTTGTCTTAATTTTCTTATCAAATAACAACTCTTTTCATTTAAGGATTCTATCTCTGTTATATGTTATTTAATCTATGTTCTTTATATTTTGTGATATACTCTAGGTATTTTTTAGAATTCATAGTTTTCTCCCAATACCTCAACAAATTCAAGTTATGGCTTGATGAAATGAGTGATATTTTCATTTCTACTTGATGTTAAAGATATTTACTGAATTTCAACAGCATGCTCTATTAATGTAGGAATTTTGACTGCTTGTTAATTATTTGGTTATAAATTTAATTGTTGAATATCTTCAAACTGTCCATTAGGAGAATCTATTTTAGATACATATGCATTTTTAGAAATAACAAGAGTCTCTGTTTTGTTTCTTTAATGTGAATGGATAATGCGAAAGTCTCCTGAATTTCCACTTGCCTTTCTCCTTTTAACTATTGCTGTTTTTGGAGTATTCAAAGTTTCTGTATTCATAACATTAGTTAAAAGTGGAAGTTTTCTAGTTGAGTCTAAAAGGATACGATGTGTACGTTTAGAGTAAACTAAATATGTATTTCCATTAGAAACTGTAGAGTTTGTATTTTTATTATGTTTGCTGAGAGCAGATGTTGTTAGAGAAGTCACATTAGAAACTATTTAACTTCCTGTTAAATTTGTGAAAAAATTGTTAACTTTGGATTATTTCATTAATTTTAAGAAATACTTACATAAAATTGAATCATAAAATCACTTTCTAAGGTGTCACTAATTTTAAATAAATTTCTATTATACAAACCTAATTTCTTTGTTTAATTTAGGTATTTAAATTGAAACATTATATTTTACAAATTTGAAATATATATTTGAAATTTAGAAAGCATCTATAAAATAGAATTGATATAGTTAGTATTATTAGAAATGATTGTTTAATATAATACGTATTTTTTCAATATTATAAATTGTCAACCCAAATTCAGATAAAGAGTAATTAAATAATCAAACAATCAAACAATTCACTTGAAAATATGGGAAATATTGAAATGAAAGAAGAGGCAATCACTACTTAATAAGAATGTTATCAATGTAAAGGAATTGGATATGTCACACCTAAATTTTATAGAAAATATTTAGATCAAGATTTATCACCAACTCAAAAAAGAGAAAGAGATTATTGTTTAGATTGTTTAGGAAAGGGACATTTAACACTAGAACACTATGACGATAAAAATTTTACTTTATGATAATACATATGATTATATATATAAAACCATTAATAAACTAAAGATTTACAAGATTTAATATTCAGTATTAATTATTGAGTTATAATGAGAATTAATAACTATATTATAATAATAAACTATGTCCATATTGAAATACCATTTTGTTATATGAGTAAATATTATAATATTATTTATTGATTATGAATTATAGAAAGACAAAGAACTGTTAAACAATTTAAAATTGATATATTATAATAATATAAATTATAATATATATGATTGCTATATTCTTTATACTGATACCTATATCAAAGACTTAGAAATGTTCATGTAATGAAATCTATTCTGAGGATTTATGTAGAGAAGCGAGAGGATGTGCATATGATGATAGAACTGGAATGTGTGAAGAAATTTAATGTATTGATAGACCATTCGATGATTGCTTTTATTTTGCAGGAACAATCAGATGTTATTGGGATAATAATGTGGGATTTTGTAAGGAACTTGAAAGTTGTGAAGAGTTTTAAGAATTAGCAGAAAAAGATTCATATAAAGAATAATGTTTAGAAATAAATTGTTCTTGGGATTATTAAGATTAAATATGTTTATCAAATTCTTAATAAAAATTGTGTTCATAATATGATTATTAATATTGTTAAGGTGCTTCATAAACAATTAATTTAATAACTAGTAAATGTATATTGAATGGTGAATTGGGTGATACTTGTATTGCATTTCTTAATTGTGAGGATATTACATATAAAGAATCTTGTGACCTTGATTTTTGCAAATATGAAGATGGATAATGTAAAACTAAGGAATGTAATGATTATACAATTACAACTTGTCCTAATTATAATAGAATAAGTGATAAATAATGTTATCCAACAATTGATTCTGGATGTTAAGAATTTATATGTGAAAATTTTACAGAAATATCTGAGTGTTAAAATCATCCAAGATGTTTTTGGAGTGAAGATTTAAACTAATGTTATTAATAAGTATGTGATAAAGCAACTTATGCTACTTAATGTTTAAGTTTTAGTTATGTAGTTGAAAATGCTGAATGCAAATGGGAAAACGATAATTGTTATTCTTGTTATTCAATTATCTTGTATTATTTGTTATTCACTTATTTATCATATTGATTATACATTATTATTATCTAATAAATATATCATAATATTATTAATCAAATCAAGAAGTTACTCTTGCTACTAAGGAAATCTCGAATTTGTATTGTAAATCTTAGATCACTTGGCTAAGCAATTTAATATTCTTTCAATTACTTCATTATTGATAAATTCAACTTCAGAATCACAATCTATTGTAAGTGCTTTCATTCCTCCTATTACTAAACCTTAAACAAAGCTTGCCCAAAGGGATAAATACTCATCTTATTAACTAAATAATATGATATATTACATTTTATCATTTAATCTAATTCTCCTTGTCATCTAAAAACCAAGTTTTGTAATTGTGTTATTTCCTTTCTTCTATTCCTCATATCTATCTTCAATATCATAATGTGACCCAGCTTTATTAATTTAAACTTTAGAAACTGGTTGTCCAAACATATATGACCAAAAGTCTTTACCAAAAAATTTAACATAATCTGTATATTTTCCTTAATCTGGATTAAGACGAATTTTCTCAAATTATGTTGATGCTAATGATTCCATTACATTTTATCCTAATTTCTTGCCCATCTCAATCAATCTAATTTGTTTCTCATTTTTGTCTACATCAATTATTCATAATACTAATTTTTGTATTTTGCTATACAGTAAACATATATGTGCTTAATAAATGATACACAATTGGATATTCAATAGTAGATTGACGTTTATATTAATTAGATTTTGGTAATTAGATTTTTTGAGTTGGTGATTAATCCATATTTATATGTAGTTATATATTTATAGTATTTTTTTATATAAAATATTTTATAAATTAAGGGATTTATTATCAACCCAGCAACTCAATTACTCATAATTTAGATTTGAATATTATTTTGAATTTGAATATCATCAAATTCTGATCTTAAAAAGTCTCGATTAATTTAAATTAGGTAATTTTACTTACTTCTTTGGGATTTAGATTCTCTTTTAGATATTTTTAACTACAAAAATGTTGTTTTATCTTTACATGATTATTCATAGGAATAATGTAGTAAAGCATTTTTTAATACCATTTAAAGGATAATAATTTATTTACTTGATTTCATCTTATTTATTAAAGTATAAATTGACAATGAAATTTCTATATAATCCATTAAAGGAAAAATCAATTTTTATTGTTTATTTATCTATAAAGATAGTAGAGATTTTGATTTAAAAATATTAAATGATTGTTAATATCTATTAAGTAGTTATCTGTGTAAAATTAGATTTTATTTGTTTAATTTTCATTGTTAATCTGTTATAAATAAAATATTATTTGAATTTTGTATTTGTATATTAAGATGAATATAGCATGAATATTATTTATTTTTTTGTTTATCAAATTATCTTCAAATAGAAAAGTAATTCTAATTCTTTACTTTCAAATAAACAACAATAAAATTAAATTAAATTTCAAGATGCTTATATTCTTTGTATTTGCATGCTTAGTTTCAGCTTAGACCAAGCTAAAAGTAACTGGAACCGTTGTGGATTCGTAGGGTATCAATATTGCAGGAGTTCACATTACATTATTGTAAGAATTTTGAATTTACCAATAGTCAGCAACAATAAACTATCGTAAGTGGTTAAACGAAAGATGATGGTAAGTATGAGCTAGTAGCATAAATAAACCAAATTAGTAATCTATTTGTCGAAGCTTCCTTATATGGAGATATACAAGCTCCTTAACGTTATGCAGCAAATCCTGACTCTAATGGTAATATAGTCTAAGATTTTATACTCACTGTGGATGATGTGACAGTAAATGGACCTGCTGTTTTAGCTAAAATCAATGGATAATACTTTAATAAAAATGCTCCATTGAATGGAGGAGCATCTTATGCACCTTTAGAGGGTGTTAAAATAGATTATACTATTGAATACATTCTAAATGGAAAGCACTCATATGATTTTACGAGTATTACAAATGCTTAAGGATTTTCAAAATTATTTACAGCTTATCCCAAATCTGCTGCTGTATTGAAATTTTTAGCATAAAGTGAGAACTTCTGGAATTTTAGATAAACAAAAGATAATGATGAGAATTACATATTGATTGTGTAAAAATAATTGTATATTATCTAATAGAACAAATTAATATAAAGTGAATTATCAAGTCATAATGGAAGAAGGAGTATTCACTCAAACAGTATTAGGTACAGTGGTAGATAAAAATTCTAAAAAACCTTTGAAAGATGCCAAAGTAGAAGTTACATTTAGCTCAGAATCTAAAGGGTATTAATAATTTCTTATTAATATAGAAAATTAAGTAGTTAAAATTTATTAACTAAAGAGGATGGTAAAATAGAAATTTAATATATAAGTAAACTTTGGTATAAATTTACAATTAAAATATCAATTGTTAAAGAATATTATGCTTTATATGAATAATAAAAAACTATTGAAATGGATCATGATGATAGAACTAAAAATAAAGATATATTTTAATTAGGTATGATAGAAATGCCAGTTTAACCATCAGTAACATTATTTGGAGTTGTTTTAGATCCTCATTAAAAAGAAAAAGATCCAAATTTAAAACCAGTCATAAATCTACCATTATAAGTTATAGCAAAATTTGAAAATTTAATTGAAAAATTTGAAACTCAAACAGACTCTAATGGTTAATGGAGTAAAGAACATTTATTATTATAACCTTCAGCTAAATATGATTTGGAAATTACTTATACAAATAGTTAAAAGGAAAAACTTACTGATAAATTTTAATTTTAAACAACACTTGAACCAATCTAAAAGATTAAAATTGATAATTTGTATTATTAAGATGTTGTAAATGCTGTATTAACAGGTAAATTTTCAGAAGCACCTGAAAAAATATAGTTCAAAATTCCATATAAGATTAATTGTGATACTATTGATTCTAAATTAAATTTACCAAAAGAAATTCTTGGCTAAACTAATGGAGATGAAATTATTGATAAAACTTGGAGTGTGGAAGCTAGAGGAGATAAAGATATTATGTGTTCTATTTAATAATAAGATAATACTTAATTTATTCAACCTTTCACAAAATAATTTACATTATAAAAGGGAATTTGGAAGACTGATCTAAAGTAAATTGATATTAAATATAATTTATTTGAAATTGTTATTGCTGGAACTGTATTGGATAAAACTTAATTAATTCCTTTTATAAGTGGTGCTAATATGAACTTTATTGTTTATTAGAAAGATACTATACAAAATTCAATTTAAAGAGAATTTAATATAAAATCTGATGATAAAGGATTATTTACATTAAAATTTTAAATAGGTAAAGGAGAAAAATAGATTGTAAAATTAACAGTTTCTCATCCTGATTTTATAGATTATAAGAAAGAAGAGTTTCTAATTTTAAATGGAAATGGTCCTTAAACTATTAATTCTAATAGTATAACTTTAGATCGTATTGAATTTACTGACATTATATTACATTATAAAATTGACACATTAGAATAACCAGCCACATTAAAATTGAATTCTTGTAGTCCTTTTATGGAAGTTGATAAATTGTATATTCCAAAATATGAATCTAATGAGTAAATATTTATTTTTTAAGTTTTAGTGGATCTTTTAAACTTCAATTTGCATGTTATTAAAATGTAATCTATAAAGCAACTTTAGAAATTACCATAAAGTCCTTCTCTGCATAAACATTCTAATCACATTAATTCACATGTATCAAACCTACAAAAGAGAAACCAGAAATTGAAATTACTTCTGATTCTCTTTTCATAAAAGGGAATATAATTGTCAAATTCCTTGATGTTAATAATCATCCTATCAAAGGATAATAAGCTACATTTCGTACAGAACCCATTTCCTAAGTTTTAACCCAATCTTCTGATGATTAAGGAATCATTAAATTCATTGATACTAAATTATTCAAAAATTAATAGTATACAGGTTTTCTTGGTTATGGATCAATTAATGAATAAATCAAGTTTTATCCAAAATAAGATAACTTTGAAGAACATTTTTAAGATTAATATATTGGAGGAGAAGTATAATATAAAATAACAGGAAAAGTGAAATTATGTAGAGGATAATTAATCAATCCACTTTAAATTAATGTAAAATGCTCTAAATATCCTGAATAAATTGGAAAAACAGATCTTCAGGGTTCATTTTCAGTTAGTATATAAGCAGTAGGTACTTTTAATGATATTGTTTAATGTACTACTAAAATATCAGGTGATGCTGATTATTCATTTGATTCAACCTTTACTAAAGGATCTTACTCTGTATATTAAGAGGTATCAGTTTGTCTCAAAGATGTTAAATTAAATCTAAAAGGTAAATTCATAGATCCAATAAACGAACCTAAATCTAATTTATAATTAACTTTAAATATAATATTTTAAGAAGATCAAAAAAATCTGCCTAATTTACCAGCCCTCAAAACCGATGTTCATGGTTTATGGGAATTAAAAGATTAAATTGTTAAAGCTAATGGAAAATATAAATTTATTATTAAATATAAAAATGGAGCTGGAGATGAAAAAACTATTGAAAAAGATTACTAAACTTCTGTTTTTACTGTAAAATCTGTAGATGATTATGAATTCCCCAATTCATTCTATTAAGATTTTGAATAATGTCATTTTTTTGGTAAGGCTAATGATCCTAAAACTAAAAATATTATACCTTCCACTTTTCCAATTGTATTAACATGTGATTAAACTATTTCAAAAGATAAAAAACCTATTAAACAAATAGGAAAGATTGGATTCGATTTATAATATGATTTAAAATTTGATGGATTAGTTGAATATGATTAACCAATTTAATGTTAATTGAAATCAGAAAATGAAGCCAAAGCTAAATTAAATCAAAATTTATAATTACAAGGACCAAAATGGGAAATTAAATAAGATCTAATAGTTTAATATATAACATGGTTAATAACTTTGAAAGGTTAAGTAATAGATCCATTAAAAATCAATACAAATTTAAAAGATGCAACTATTACAATTATTGTACATTAACAAGTACCTAATAAACTAGAATCAAAATTGAGAGGAAGATATCATTTAGATATTCAGTAAACACAATTAGAATCTGTTAAATCAAAAGATTAAGGTTAATATTAAATTGAATTTTAAACTTACAATTAAGAAGCTTTAAGTATTGATATTACTGCTAAACTAACTGATTTTAATGATTTCAAATAATAAAATGCATTAAGTATAGCAGGTACTAAAAATGAGGATTTAGTATTTAATATCAATTTACAAAGAATTGAAATACCTGCTATTTTAAGTTCAAATGTAGATGAAATAGGAAGCATTCAATTAAAAACTAGTAATCCATTAATGTAAGAAGATAAGGATAAGAAAATCTATGGAACTAGTGTAATTCTTTAGAAGGGAAAGTATATAAATTATACATTATATTTAGACCATTTTAATTTAATTTTAAATGCTATTAGAATGTTGAGTATGTAGCAACTTTTATTTTAACAAATGAGCATCAATAATCTATAGAGTATATATCAGATCCTTTCAAATGTAAAATGGCCCCTGAATTGACTGTAATCAAAATTAAATCTGCAAATGATAAATACGTATTAAAAGTAAATAATACTAATATAATTAGATAAGTGGTATAATAAAAGATAAAGAAAAATTATTTGATGGTATTGTTTAAGGGGCAAATGTAATAATAAATTTGAAAAAAAATGATAAGTTAGTTAAATCAATAGAAACTACTTCAAATAATAAGGGTGAATATTAGGGTTCATTTGAAGTAAATACTGATACTTATCAATATGAAATTAAAGTCACTCATCCTTAATTTAAAGATGGAAATATTTCAGATAAAATTGTCTTTTCAAAAAATGAAAATGTGAATAGAGATATAATATTAGAAAGATAAACAAATTCATAAAAAATTACTATTAATTTATAAGATTCAAAGAAAAAACCTATTAAAAATTCTGAAGTAGGAGCATCAGATTTTAAACCAAAATCAAATGATAAAAAAATTGTGAAGGCTGATGAAACAGGTAAAGCAACTATAGAAGTGAGTTGTTTTAAAGATGTTCAAGAAAGTTTTAAATTAGAAATAAGAGTTGAAGATTTAAAAGAAACAATTGAATAGACTATAAATTGTGATGGAAAAAGTTAAGATCATTCAATAGTTACTTAATTGTAATATATTAATATAAATGGGAATGTGATCGATCCCTATTGTAAAGGAAAGAGAGATCTTAAATTAAATCTTGATACTATTCCAGAGACATAGAAATTAAAGGTAACAACAGATAAAAAAGGTGATTGGGAAGGTGAATTACTTGTTAAATTAAATTAAGAATACAATGTTAATGTTAATTATAATGGTTGGGATGGATAATTATAAAGTTTGAAAGAGAAATATGTTATTAAAAGTGATTAAACTAATTTAGATTTTAAAAAGATTTATTATTCTGATTAAGTTGAAAGTTCAGTTGAAGGTGAAGTTGTTTCAAGTGTTTATCATGTTTCCTTAAAATTTCATAAAATATCATTGTGGTTTGATAATAAGGAGGTTAAGGAAAGTGAGATAGACTAATTTAGTGAATATGAGATGAAATTTAAAGTTGTTGCTTAATGTAATAAGGAGTATGAATATCAAATTTTAATTAAAGAAACTTAACATTTTGAGAGAAAGTTGGTAAATTTAATTATTAAACCACCTAAATATAATTATAAAGTTGATATTGTTGTTGAAGAAACTAAAGCATATGTTAATGAAATAAAGAATTTCTTTTCAAAATTTATGATTAGTGGATATTTAGAATCAGATTATAATTGTAAAGACAAGTTGTTTAGAGCAGTATAACATGCTTAAGTTAAGATTGTAAAGAAGTAGGAGTCTGGTGATAAGGTGAAAGCTGCTACTCATACTAGAGACGATGGCAAATTTTAATTATATTTCTTTTTATCTAAATCGTAATTATATTTTATTAAACATTTTATTAGATAAGTGAAAAATAATATATTTGTGTGGTTACATTTTGAAAAAGAAGGATTTACAACTCCATATCCCCTATTGATCATACCATCATAATATGAAAAATTTTAAATGGATGACGAAACCATTACACATATAGATATAGGTTATTAATCCATATCTCCTATTCGTGATATGGGTTGTCCAGAAGATATACCAAAGATATCAAATAATGAGTAATAAACTATTTTGATTGATTACATTAAGATGGGAAAGAAATAACTCAAAGGTAACAACAACTGATTTATATATCTATATATTATTATTAAAAATGAATTAGAAATAGGAAAAGAAAATAGATAATATCACTCTCTAATGTAATAATTATTCTGAAAATAGAACTCAGAAGTATGGTTGAAGATGGTGCTGGAGAATCACTTGCAGCTAGTTTGAATTTAGATTAAGAAGATCTTATAAGTAAAAAATGTTGATTGAGTTTAAAGTATGGCCTTTGGAGTAGGTACAAAGAAACTTCAAAGACTTTATGAGATCAACTTCATAGATTGATATTGAAATGGACAATGCAAAAGAAAGAATAGACTTTCCTGCTGATATGGAATGGCCAACTGAAGATGATTTGGAATAAATGTTTCAAAAATCTATGAGCAAGTAATTGTCATTTTAATTATTATTCAGAATTCAAGGCCGTCAAAATAAAAAGAAATGGAAAGACAATGAGAAATAATTTTTAACATGGATTATAATTAGATATTGTTTATGGAAAAATAAAGTTTGTAAAGAGCTAGTATATCATTATTTATATTTAGAATGATTTAGATTGGAGATACATTGCTTAATTGATAGTTGGAAGGAATGCAACTCAATGTAAATATAAGTGGTTGGCTCGATCTAAATTTAAGCTTGTTTAAGTACCTTGGAGTAAAGAAGAAGATGAAGCTTTGGCATCAATTTATATGGAATATTAAAAATAAGGAAAACATAGTAAATGGAGTGAAATTGCTAAAGAAATTGCTTTAAGATGCAAAACATAAATTGTCAGATAAGGTAAATAATGTAGAGAAAGATGGATTAATAAATTAGATCCACAAATATCAAAGTAAATTATAATACTTATATTTTTAGAGGACCATGGACTAAAGAAGAAGAATTGACTTTGTTATAATTAATTTTAAAGAAAGGTAAAAAATGGTCAGAAATTTCAAAAATAATGAAAAATACACGAACAGAGAATTCCTTAAAAAACAGATATCATACTATTATGAAAAAAGAAAGAAATAAATAACCAGAAGTCAAAGAAGAAATTCAATAAGAAATTGTAGATCTATTATAATAACATAATCATAACTATTAAGCTGATAATTTAGTTCATTTATATGAAGATATTGATCCAAAAGAATTAAAAATAATACTTTAAGTTATTGATAGATTAAGTGAAAGTACTGGTAAATAGATTAGAGTAAGTACATTAATTACTGATTAATAAATGTAATAAGAATAATTATATGAAAAATAATAAAAAGTCAAGTAAGAAAGTTAAATAGATTAAATTCAATAAAAAAATGAAGAGGCAAATAATAAATAAAGATTTCTTGATACTATGGAAAAAATCAAAATTGATTTAGATCAATAAATTAAGAAAGTAATGAATAAATAGGAATTAGATTAAAATTGTACAATAAATCTTCTTAAATAAATTCTAAAACCATAAGGTATTAAACAATATTAATTTATTTAGAGAATGAAACAAATTAGTTGCAATTTGATTAATACTACGATTAAATGATCCTCAATTTTTAAGCAAATTAAGTAGAATTTGAAGTTGAAGCCATTACAAATTTAACAGCTTAAGATGTTGAAGATTGTTAATTTGGAATTGTAGATTTTGAATAATCTAACATTTTTATGATTCCTTAATAGTATTTGTAAGAAGTTATAAATAAAGTTCATGGTTCTTCAACATAAGCTTAAGTATAATAGCAATAATAATTAATGCAACATTAATAATAATAATAACAATAATAACAATAATAATAATAATAATAACAACAATAATAATAACAATAATAATAATAATAATAGTTGTAATAATCATAAATATAGTAATAATAATAATAATAATAATAATAACAATAAAGATTAACTATTTCATCATCACTTAGGTAATCCATTCCTTAATCATAATAAGCTTAACCTCTTTAAACATCTTAATTATTTTTAGGAGATCAATTCAATCTTGTCAATAGTCAATATGATTTTGAAAATCAATAATAATACTAATAACAAATACCTGTATAAATTCTCTACCCGTAGATTATTTATTAACCTATAGGCTAATCTATAAATCTATCGTAAGGTCTATAGTAAAATTATTGGATGTAGCAATCTTATTTTTAGCCTTAATATTACATGAAGGCATAAGATTAGTAATTTAACAAATCAAATCTAGAAGAACCTAAATGAAATTTAATTAATTTTTATATATATATATATACATGTAGAATTAGGATAAATAAAAAGTTATTGAAACAGGTACAAGTAAAGTGGCAGCAAGATTTCCATTTACGTATAATATACTATTCAAAAAAAAGAGTATTTTTAGAAGAAGGTATTGAATACTATTATTGCACATGTGGTCTTGGATCTACTTAACCATTTTGTGATGGTTAATGTGAGGGAACAGGATTTGAGCCTGTAAAAATAATTCCAAAAAGAAGTGGAAAGTAAGTATAGATTACTCAATTAATTAAGTGCTTTACTTTGTGGGTGTAAGAGATAATGTGATCCAAAAAATCCGAATTGTGATGGAAGTCATTCAGTTGTTAATTTGGATTGGTGAATATGATGATGAATAGCTTATCAACAAATTTTTCATTCTGAATAGAATCTAAATTCTTAAATATTCAGTTTCAAATATTTGATGTCCATCATAGTTTTTTATGATTCAAAATATTATGAATTTGAATGAAAAGTACATTCAAAAAAGAAATAACTCTAAATGGATATCTAAATAATAATTCTTAAAATATTTCATTTTATTTTATTCAGCCAACAATCTAAATAATAATAGTTAATATTAAAAGTGTAATATAGTTTTATGGATTTGCAATATTTTTTTATTTTAGTTTAGACTTAATCATTGTATTTTATACTCAAAAAGAAATATTATTAATTAACAGTTAATGAGCAACAAATAATAATAAGCTAAAGATTATCTCACAGCATGTTTTTAATGTAAAGGTTTTGAACCATTCTTTGTTGTTACAAAAACATCTCTTTTGCGTATATTAGATAATATGGCATAAAAATAATTTGATAGAGAATTGGCAGATGAGTTATTTGAACGTTGTCCAACAAATTATAAAGGCTTTGTCAAAATTGAAGATTTCATAGAAATTGTTATTTAGGCTGACATAGTATTGAATGAAAAAATCAACAAAGCTAATGAATTTATAGTGAAGCAAACAGAAGAATTGACAAAATTAACTAATAAGAATAGATCTCAAGTTTTATAGATTAGAGTAATTGGAGCTAAGAATCTCCATTAAGGATTGATTAATGCCACTAACAAACCATATGTTGTTGTACATTTTAATTAAGAGAAAAAAAGTTCTCGTTTAGCACATAATGATATTCTTAATCCAATATGGGATGAGACCTTTATTTTGTAAAAATCCTTTAATATATTTATAGTCCTATTAAGTCTGGAAATGAATAAACTTATATATCAATATTAACTTTGGATGGCACAAATAATAGAAGTAATTTAATAGGAGAGGTTCATTTTGGATTGAGAGAATTAGAAGATTAAATGAAACATAATCAATGGTTTAATATATATGATCGTCATGGTTCAATGACTAGTGGAAGTTTACAATTAGAATTATAATTATTACTTGATGAAGTATAATGTTAAAGATTATAAATTAGTAAATGTTTTATGAATAGGCTCAACAAGTTATGTAGCAATAAATACTAAATTAACAAGATGAAAAAGATTAATATGAGAATGATTTGAAGAATCTTTATGCTCCTTTTTAAAATGGATTATTACAACCAAAAAGACTAATTGTTCCTGATGCTCCTTAATTAATGTTTGTTCATGAATTCTCTAAACCAATTATATATTAAGGTGATAAGAAAGTAGATTTGACAGTTTATAAAACACCTTAATTAAGTGATAGTAGAGTTTTATAAATATTGAATCAACCTCCTGAAAGTGTAACAACAGTACATCCAGAAATTGATTATCCAGCAAGACATGATTTAAAGTAAAAAGCCAATTATGGATATGATCATGTTACTAAAGATATGAAATTAACAGCCATTTTAATCTTATTATATCTACTTAGTAGTATATATTTATGTTGGGTTAAAACTGATTTTGTTAATATTACTATAGCTTTATGTACTTCATTAATTGTTGGTCTTAATTATTTTGAGAAGAATCATTTAAATATATTTGCAATTCTAATAATTTTAACATTGTTATTTGATGTTTCTTGGTTGGCAGCCTATTCAGGAGTATAAAAATTATAATTTATTAATTAATAGGTTTGGTGGAATCAAAATAAATCAGAGAATCCTTAATAAGAATCTGAACTTATAACATCTTAGAGAATAACAATTCTTGTTAGTTACTTTGTAATTGTTTTGAAGATTACATTATCATGTTAATTATGGAATTTGAAGAAGAATATAGAACCATTAAATAATCATAAATAATTTGGAATTGGAACACATTTATATTAAGCGAATGGAGGACATATAAATCCATTTATTTAATGAAAATATATATTTTTGTTATTATCAATAACCATCGTTTCTTGTGATTACATTTTTATCTAAATATGGATAGACTGTTCTTATTATATTTAAAGATATTTTATGATCACATTATCCATATGATTAAGAATATCCATAAATTTCTAAACTTTATTAAATATTTGAATGTTTAATTCTGCCTCCTCCAACACACATAAATTTGAACTTATGTCCATTTAATTCAGCTTTGATTGTTCCTTTTTCTAAATCAAATTTAAATTCTGACCATTTTAAGTTATTTTTAGCTTCATTACAAAAGTGTTCAAAATTTTATGCATGATATTCATATTATTTGAGACCTCTAACAAAATAAAATTCTTTATTGTTGTTTCCTTCCAATAAAATAAGTATATATTTAAATGTCCCTTCATTGTCAATATTCACTTAACTTATATTTTTAGTGATCTAAATAAAAGTCTCTTCTTCAGACTATTAAGTTTGAATCATAAATATAAATATAAATATTAATATCATAATAAATATTTATTTTCAATCAGAAATCATAATTTTTCTCTTCATTTTTCTACGATTAACAAATATACGGATAGGATTTTTCTTATTTTTTTGCATATATTTTTCATAGGATTAATTAACTCTTTCAAGTATATTATCTATATTAAATTGAGGAAAGTAATATTTATAAGATTACATAACTTCAAACTCCAAATCAGGATTATAGGTTGTAACTTTAGAATGAGTAGTAACTAATGATTTCTCTTTCTCTTTTTGATGTATATTTAATTTCTCTAAAATTTCATCAATATATTCTTTGAAATCATCTTCTTTTTCTTTTCTTTTAAAATTATGATCTACAATCAAGGATTGTTTCTTTAAATTTTTTCTGGCAAAGGTTGATTTTTAAAGTTACTCACGTTATTAATCAATCTATTTACAGATCAATTAAAATCTAGAACTATTGGTAGGAGATTTCATAATAGAATTAACATTTCCTTTAATATCTTCTTAAATGGACCTACTAGAACTAAAATTAGAGGATTCTAAATCTTATATATTGACTCTCATTCTTTAAGTACCTTCTTCATTTTGATCATAATTTGGTCTAATTATATTATATAAATATAGATACATACATTTCATCAACTAATTTTTAACTAACCATAAAATCTAAACAAGCATTTTAAATTTGTGATAATTCTGTTAATGTATTAACTTTTTTTGATCTTCTAAAATCTTTATAATATTTCCTTTCTTAATCTTCATTTTATCTATGATGAGTCAATAATTTCATTTTGTCAACTTAATAAAATGTCATAGGACATTGCAAGTACCCATGAGTCCATCCACAGATTTCACATGTCCTTCCAATAACATTTTTTTTCCTTACACTAAATTTATATTAATCTCTAATTTTACACATCTTCTCGAATTCTTATCTATCATACTATAATATTTCATAAAATGAAGCTCTAGAAATAGCAGCTATCTTACTGTATCCTTAACTTATAATGATATAATCATAGTATCCTTATTCAGTAAATTCTTGTTCTCCAATTACAGTACTACCAGTTAATTATTTTAAAACAATAGGTTATCTTGAATTATGTCCCATTAAGGTAAGTTCTCCATTCAAAAGGAAGATCAAATGATCAGCAAATTATTATGCTTTTACAACTTCATCTCCAGGTTATAATTTAATGACTTTAACTTTTGTACATAATTACTCAACTGTAGAATCTTTAAATTATCTCAATAAATAGGAATTCATTAAAATAGTTTTATAAGAATCTATCATAACTTCTTCTTCTAGATTTTTGGTTAATTTAGTAAGTAATTATTCTCCTAATGAATTTTCTTATTGTTCTTATTAAAATAAATGTTAATAATATTTTCTAACTTTAATAGATAACTTATCATTTAATTTGCGTTGTCTTATAATTTACTCAATGGCTTTCATCTAAGTTTTGTATTATTGTTTCTTCTCATTCATTGATCTATAGATTTCACCAATGTTTGAAATAGTATAACCTAACATACCACAAAGACTCATAGCAACTAATATTACAAATAATTGTTCGTATGCAGATTGAGGTGTTAGGTCACCATATCCAACTGTTAAGGTAGTGATTACACTGAAATATAAGGATGCTATGTATCTTTAGTTAAATATGATAGTTTTACTGCTCTATCCAACTTAAATGACTAATATCATAGTACTCTAACCAATTCTTTCCTGCCACATAATGTTCCATTTCGTACACTCCTAAAAAATGCCAACTACATGCACAACAATGAATTATGAAAATTAACATCACAATCAATTTAATTAAATCAAATACAGCAGCCAAATTTTCTTTAAAATTTGTATTATATTCAAATTAATCCAATATACGTATCAATAAAGGTATCCTCAAAAATACTGAGATTAAAGGGATGAAATAACCATAAAGTATTTATAAATATGTTGTCAGAACTATTAACAAATCTAATAAAAAATAGCTTCTCACATAGTTGCTTGCAATATCAATTCTACTCTTTTTCATTATCTGATCTTCATAGAATGAAAGGTTGAATTAAACTAAAATCCATATGATTTGTAAAACAGTTGGAAATGCGTCAAAAAGTATTGAGATATCATGATTTAAGAAACTGACATTTATTGGTACATAGAATAAGTTTAA